TTGAGAAAAGGGAAGCATAGAAAGTTCACAGGTTACATAATTTGTCTGAAGGGAAAATTAGAGGAGAAAACTGAGTAGGCTGGAATTTCTGCAGACATGAAAGATTTAAAGTTGTTTTATTTGGGTAGTAAAGTGTGTCCTGGGGAGGCTGAAAACTTGTGGCCATACATTTTGCATTTACTAGAGAGCTGTCCAGCTGTCTGATCCATGGGCCACACTGAGTAGACCTAGTAGCCTCTGAGGCCTGGTCTCTGAGGACTATGATTGTTTACAATACTGGTTCAGTGCCAATGTCTTCTAGCTGGGGAGGTGCAGGGGATTATTTCTTTTCAGGAGCTAGATTGCCAGCTCTGGCACATGGAGAAGATGCCTGCAGTTTGCACTAAATTTGAAAGCAGAAAGGATGATGGCATTCAAGTATCCCTAAACTGGTTGGGTCAAATACTTGGTGACTTTCTTTAAAAAGCCAGCTTGTGGAGGCTCACAGTGGAAGAGGAAAACCTGGAAATAGAGGTAGTGTTTTGTTTTGGTTTGTTTGGTTTAGTTTGGTTGTTTTTGTGGAAAACAAACATATATTGATATTTAACTCATTTCAGGTTCTGTGCTAAAATCTTTAAATACATTATCACAAACTCAAAAAAGCTCAAAAGAGACAACTGTGACCTTTCCAAGGAAGAAATTTTATCAAAGAAAGGTAAATAACATGCTCAAGCTTTCTTCCTATGAAGGAGGTGTGAAATGGCCAACATGGTCACTTCAAAATAATAGCATTCCTTCAAAGGAAGTTAATGTTCATCCTGGGTAAGTAGGATATTTAGGGGCCATAAAATAACTGAACTATCACTGGGGACAGGATCTAGAGACAGATTATATCTTTACTAGGGAATCAACAAGTTCCAAAAGCAGCCTGATGTCTTTCAAGATCTCAAAGTGAGAAATATCACTGCTCAATCTCAGTCACCTTTGGGTTTTTGCTATAGAAAGGAGTTAGGTTTGGATAAAAAGAGCAAAATTCTAGCATTCTAACCCCAGCAAGTGGTTCCATGAATAGTTTAATATCAACAAAATAAAATATCATAATAATCCAGCATAGGGGCACTTGGGTGTGTAGTAAGATACATGGATAGCAGCCTTCACAGCCCGGGTCCTTTTCTAATCACTGCTCAGACTGAGTAAGACCCATCCTGTAAGTAGATAAGCAAATAATGCTTCCTACAATAAAGTAAAACCAGATTAAAGCAGAGTTGATATGTGGGAAAGTCTTGGATCCCCTCCCCTGACTGCTTCATTCAGTGGTTCATTCAGTGTGTTTTTTGTTAGGCAATGGACTCATTGCTAAAGAAACCATAGAATGAAATCCATTCTCACAGAACATATGGTTCTTAGTGCTCTGTTTGAAATTTGGTCAGGAAATGGAATCAGCATGAGGCTGAGTTCACCTCAACCTGGAGGCAAAGTATGGGAAACATTCTGAATACATTCACAAATGCTAAACCCAGCTACCTAACCACCATTCTATCCAAGTCTCACACTGCACAGCCATGCTCAGATCTTGTTCTGTGTCCCTCATCCCTACTCCACAAGGCACTTTTTTTGGCCTGCTCTTCCATCTCCCTGTGATCCAACACATGCTCTACCCCATCACAGCCATCCTAACCTTACATCGCCTTCATTTCAGGTTCTGAAATGCCCTCCTCAGTGTCTAAGCTCCTACACTTGATTTCCAAATTTGTTGATTAAGGCTGATTAATCTCAAATACCCTGGCAACATTGCTCATGCTTCCATTACTCAATCATAAGCTTAAGAATTGCTCAGAAAGAAAGAGCAACTGGGATAGGGGAAAGCAGGAAAGAAAGAAGGAATATATATATATATATATATGCGCACACACAAGATAGATAACTATACTACCATTTTCTGTTAGTTCATCAAAAAGAATAGTTTGTGCTTTCATTGTGTGATTGATCATTTTTTTCATGCTTATGTCTCATAACCTGAACAACTATTTTGAAGATAACACTATGCAATATATTAGCCATTGTTAATATATTATTTTGCTTTAAATTCCTATATCATTGTTTTTATCCAGTTTTCATTTTAAAACAAAAGTAAGTAAATAAATAAATGAAGTGAGCCAAATGGATCACTTTTCAAAAGCCAGAGCTACTGACAATGCCTTCTCTTCTGCTCCTTTCCCCTCTCTTCCTTGAGGAATCTGCACTCTGAGAGGAAACAGAATGGTGAAGGCTGCAGCTCGGACTGGTGAGTCAGAAGGCTTGGGTCAGAGCTCTGTGTCTTGGGAGAATGATTTAATCTTTTTTTTAAAGTTTTAAAAAATTTTATTTAGAATCTAGTAAAAGTACAATAGAACAAGATAAAACAAAGCCAATTGAGACAATGTAATGACATTGGTACAAAACTTCAAAGCAGGATACTCGGATAGTAGTAATGGGTACTATAGTATATCTTGTCATCTTCACAATAGTTGTCCAGTCAATTAGGTATAGCAAAATCAAACTAATAACAGACCATTGTAAAACCAATTGAAGGAGAATATTGAATAGAGCATAACAATCATTACAAAACATAACAATGAAAATAACTTTTGCCTTCAAACAGAACATAGAAGGAAATCCTCCTTATTTGCTATGTTGCATATGGTCATCTTCCCAAAAGATGCTCAGAACTCTGTCCCCAGTTGTGATGAGAGAGGGGGAGATGTTTGATTTTCAGCCCGCCTGCTGGTTGGCTCACGGGAACAGGTGACTGGTTCTCCTTCCTGCCAGTGCTGGGGAGCTTACCAAGAGGGTGAGCAAATTGCCTTCTTGTGCAGCCACCTAAGTCCCAACATGCCCAGATTGAGTATGATTTAATCTTTCTGGCAAAAATTTATGCATTTTTCATTCAAAGATGTTTGTCGAAGATTACCACAAAATATCTTTCCCTAATGGCTCTTTAGTAAAGGAACTTCAAGTGATAGTTGAGGTCCTGTAGCCTCTAACTGGAGAAGGTTTCCTATTTGGTTGTTGAACCCAGGTCACTTAGCAGCAGAGGAGAGCTTATGAAACTAGTTTTATCACTGTGTTTTTATTCTTCATAGGAACTTTCTATAATTCTGTCCAGACATTTGACACATGCACCATTCAGCGCAGGACAGGGGAAAGGAAGACCAATTGATATAAAAGGACAGAGCAGATGATTTGTTAAGAAACTTGCTAGTTCTATGAATGCATCAGTAAGTTCCCTGTACTTTTTGGTTTTAATTTTTATGCAGTCGATGACATGTCCTTAGACACTGCTATACATCTGACAGTAAAGATCTCAAACATACAGAAATCTTGCTTCCTTGTTAAGGTACAAGAGTGAGTGAAACCCTCCTAGGAAGCAGGAAGACTAGGATGGAGATGCAGATTGAGTGTTACAGCAATACAGTAAAAGATCGATTTTTAAATAGATTGGGATAGTGGAAGAGACCATGTTTATCATGCAGATGAATGATGTCTGAGCCTAGTTTTGAAGGATGCATAAGAATAAACCTCTAGAATTAGGAAAAGCATAGTAATTAGGGAAGGCAATGAGTTGTGAGTGAGCTTGATAGGTATGGGGATTTGGAGCAGTTCAGGTTTTACTGAAGCACATGGCAGTGTACAGGATGGAAGCTCATGATCAGTGTGGCTGGGTGTGTGGGGTCCTTGCAATGAGACTAAAATGCTTAGATTTTATACCGTAGGTGAAGAGGAGCCTCCACAATATTTTAAAATGGGTGAAGACATAATGGATTGGTTAGCTGTTATAAGTATCATTGTAGTTTCTACACGGGTGACTGATTACTTGCTCATTTTGGGTGAGATAGAAGATGGATCAGTTATGATGTGAGAGTCTTAGCTTATTTTGCTAATTTACCTAAAGTAGGGCTGATAAGGGTGTGTAAGGAACAACTGGTGTTGAGACAAGGCTTTTGAAGCATTTGATAATAAATAAAAGAGTAAATTGGTGGATTGATAAATGCTAATGGATGACTTTTTACAAGACATGGTGACCAATTTTGGAATTATGAGACAGACCAATAAAAGAAGAATTTAGGGATGATTTCCATAATTTTTGGTGAGTGGCAGAGGAAATATAGCAAAAGGAGCAAGTTTCAGTGGGGTAACATGAGGGGCTGAGTTTTGAGGAGGTGCACCATTGACTGAGAAGTGCAGCAGGGAGTTGGAACTATCACTCTAAAAAGAGCCAGTTGTAGAAAACATTTAGGGAAATTATTTTCCTGTAACTAGTTATTTTTCATGAAAAGAATATAATTGAAAAAATCTCTTTTAATTGACAAATAATAATTATGCATATTTATGGTATACAATGTAATAATTTTTTCCCATTTCTAAGTTGTTCAGAATTTTTTATTTAACATGAAATAATAATTAGTCATGTAAATGGAGTGGGGTGGGATATTTCCAGATAGGTACACAGCACAAACTGATCAAAAAGGGGTAATTAACATTTTCCCTGCCTCGTCATTTCTTTATGATTATAATCTTCAAGTTTCTTTCTTCTAGATCTTTGTAAAACATGTAATAGACTATCACAAACTGTGGATCCTGAACTGTGCTGCAGAATATCATTACAAAAGCAGCACAAAGATATTTTCAATCTGCAAAATAATGAATTTTAAAAATTATTTTGTATAACTACATGTTAGTCCATAACTTGTTAATTCATTTCCTTATAAAATTCATTGTCAAAAAGTAAGTGATGTAATGTTGTGAGGATTATTTATTTTGTTGCCTACTTTGCTCTCAATCGAAATTATTAATTAGAAATGCAAAAAATAACACCATCATTAGCAGGTCCTTGCTTAGGTATTCAGGGCATGGGTTAATTATATTCTATTCACACTGATAGGCAATTTCTCTAGGAATTAACACTGCTATAATTTCATGGAATGTCTTGCAAGGCATCGTAACAAAGATTTCTTGGTATATCTCATTACAGCTCAGGATTGATGGATAGTCCAAGAAATATCACAGAATTTTTTATGCTGGGACTGTCACAAAATCCTAAGGTACAAAGAATTTTGTTTGTGCTCTTTATCTGTGTCTACCTGGTCTCCGTTGGAGGCAACCTGCTTATCATGATCACCATTTTCTTCAGCCCCACCTTGGGCTCCCCTCTGTACTTTTTCCTCTCATGTTTATCTTTTATTGATGCTTGTTATTCTTCATGTATGACCCCCAGACTCATCGCTGACTCATTATATGAGGGGAGAGCCATGACTTTTGAGGGCTGTTTGGCCCAGTTCTTTGTTGCTTATTTATTGGGAGGAACTGAAATCATTCTTCTGACAGTGATGGCCTATGACCGCTATGTGGCCATCTGCAAGCCCCTGCACTACATGACCATTATGACCAGGAAAATCTGTGTCATGCTGGTGGCAGTGGCTTGGCTGGGGGGCTTCTTGCATTCATTGGTTCAGCTCCTCCTGGTCCTTCGGTTGCCCTTCTGTGGGCCCAACGTGATCGACCACTTCGTCTGTGACTTGTACCCTCTGCTGGAGCTCGCCTGCACGGACACCTACGTCACTGGTCTGCTGGTGGTGGCCAACAGCGGTGTGATCTGCCTGCTGAACTTCCTCATGTTGGCTGCCTCCTACGTTGTCATTCTGCACTCCTTGAGGTCCCACAGTGCTGAGGGGAGACGCAAAGCCCTGTCTACCTGCGGGGCTCACTGCACGGTGGTTGCTTTATTCTTCGTACCTTGTATATTTATTTACATGCGCCCATCATCTACTTTATCGATAGACAAAATAGTTGCTGTGTTTTATTGTATTTTGACACCCATGTTCAATCCCCTGATTTACACTCTGAGAAATGCAGAGGTGAAAAACGCCATGAAGAATCTCTGGAAAAAATGAGCAATTGTGGATGGAGGACACAAAGTACAGTGAGGAGAGAAAGAATTGCCCACTGAGAATGCTTGTCGTGATGAGACCTGAGAGGCTGCCAACAATTTTAGATAAAACTGAATATTTGAGTTTATGCATAATCTATGTTCAAAATTATTGAGTGATTATTAGGGTTAAATTTCTTCTTCCCAATTGGAGGTACTTTTGCCTTCTATTTTATGTCTCCTTGTAATTTGGGACTTTTGAGTTCCCTGATCTGCTAATAGTAGTTATTCAATTTGAGGGCAGAATTGTGTTGATTTCATGGTGAAATATGTTGTTTTCTTTTTAAATATTCGTTTGACTAGGATAATAATACAGACACAAGTTGCAAAGTATAATTAGGCATAAAGATATTACATGTATTAGTTCAAGTCACTGATATTTCCTGTCCCTTAATTATAGGTATTTTTCCTAGTTGCATTAAATCATAATCTACTGTTTCATATATAATGTCAGCAAGTTAGTTATACTTCTTTTGCAATTTTCTACTCTATGGTGTACCAATTATATCAATTGATTTAAAAGGTGATATCTATACCTATTTGCTATCATATATAGTGTTTGCAATAATTCTAAGCAGCAAAGGCAAGGCAGGACAATCCCTAACTTGAAGTTATACTACAAAGCTACTGTAATAAAATCCACATGGTACTGGAATAAATAAGATCTGAAGATCAGTGGAATATATTAGAAGATACAGCAACAACTACAAACATATTCAACCACCGTATCTTTGATAAAGGGGCCAAACAGGTTCACTGGAAGAATGACAGTCTCTTTAATAAACAGTGCTGAAAAAACTGGCTCTCTATATGTCGAAAACCAAAACTAGAGCCATGCATATCACCATATACTAAACTAAAATCTAAATGGATTAAAGATCTGAATATTAAAACAGAAACACTAAATCTGTTGGAAGACAAAGTAGGTAAACATCTTGAAGACATAGGGGTACATAGACAATTCATGAACAGGAATCAAACCGCAGGGGAAATACTTCCCAGAATCAATAACTGGGATCATGTCTTATTAAAAATTTCTGCATGTCAAAAGAAATCTCCAGCACAGTCAAAAGAAAACCCACAAACTGGGAAAAATCTTCGTGAACTGTCCCTCAAACAAAAATTTCTGTCTAAAACATATAAAGAATTAAAAAAATCAAACCCCCAAAATTCAAAGATCTAATCCAAAAATGGGCACCTGAGAATACACACTTCTCAGATGAAGAAATACAAGTGGCAAATAAACACATGAAAAAATGTTCATCATCATTACTCTTTAGAGAAATGCAAATTAAAACCACACTGAGATTCCATCTCACTCCAGAAAGAATGGCCAGGATTAAGAAAACTACCAACAAAAAATGCTGGAGAGGCTGTGGGGAAAAAGGAACTCTCCTGCATTGTTGGTAGGAGTGTAGACTGGTGCAACCATTGTGGAGGTCAGTCCCGAGATTCCTTAAAATGATGAGATTGAAAGTTCCATTTGATCTAGCTATTCCGCTTTTAGGCATATTCCCAGAAGAACTGAAAACATCATACCATAGTGATATATGTGCACCCATGTTTATAGCAGCACAATTTGTAGTAGCCGTATCTCGGAATTAACCGAAGTGTCTATCAACTGAGGAATGGATTAGAAAGTTGTAATATTTTTATACAATGGAGTACTACTCAGCTGTAAAGAATGATCATACTGAGGTATTTATAAATAAGTCGATGCAACTTGAGACCATATTCATAAGCAAAATAAATCAAAGTCACATGTATAAATACTTTGCAGTCCCCCTAGTGTAAGAAATGGTAAGAGTACATAAGATTTTATGGCAATCATGATTACCTATTACATTGCTTTGAAGCCTCATAATGTTTGAATTCATTAGATGTAGTGTTTGTATCCTGGTTTGTTTGATTTTATTATCTGTGATGATATAAACAGCTATTTTGAAGAAAACAAGACATTTATAATGTCTTAATAATTAGCCAGTGCTAATTTAATATCATCTTGCTTTGAAGTCCTACCATGCTTTTGTTCTTCTGTTTCCATTGGTTATATCATGTTACATCTTATTGGATTTTATTATGTGTTTATTATAAAATTTTTTTGAATAATGAGATAATATAGTAATCATTGTCCGTTTTCTGTTATTTGGTTCTGAATACCCTGTAATACTTTCATTTTCTTGAATGGTTTTGTACTATTTTCTTATGTTTGATAATATTATATATGATGTTATACTCAATTATTTCAAAGAAAGAGACATTATGGTACCAACTATTATACTGGGTTGTCTTGTGGTGAAATACTGTGTTGCTTAAATTGTTCTGTTCTGATCTGCTTTGTTATGTCCTCTTTTGTCCTAATATCTTTAAAATAAAAAATTAAAAAAGAAAATGTGACATAATATGTAATTTCAAAAGCAGATTTTTGAAATGGAAAATGAAACAGTGTTACTGGAAATTGTTATTGGAACCTTATTATGAGCATGCAGAAAGATGGAGAGGTATTTATTTAGTTTATTTATTGAGTTTATCATCTGACCAACTACTTTGACGATAACAATATATAATATAGTAACTAGCGTTAATTTCATGTTATTTTGTTTTGAAATTCTGTGTCATTTTTACCACTTCTTGTTTCTAAAATGAAGAATTAAGTTTATTAAAATGATAATCAGTATCTCACGCTGTGATTGAAATCTATTTTACTTGGTGAATTAAAATTTATATATTTTGTGTAGTTTTTCATTTTTACCTAGCATGTGTGATTTTTATAAAAACAACAAAATCATGTAAAAGCAGAAAGTACAACAATTCTTGAATAAAGTTTTAAAAGTAAAAATAAAGACCCAAACACTCTTCTAGATTCTAAGACATGCAGCCTGACATGATGTGTTCTCAAAAGTATTCTGTGTGTTTGGGAAGCATGTGTATTTTGATGCTGTAGGGTAGAATATTTGGTATATGGCCATTGGGTCCATTTGGTCTAAAACATAGTTTGAGTCCAACGTTTGCATATTGGTTTTCTGTCCAGATGATCTGCCCATTGTTGATGGTGGAGTAACAAAGCCCCCTATTATTGTACCACAGTCTATATCTTCCTTCAAATCTTTTAATATTTGCTTCACATCTTAGTGCTCCATTATAGAGTGCATATATATTTACAACTGTCATGACTTGATTGATTGACCTCTTTGTAGGATGAACTTTGTCTTTTTAATTTACATTTTAACTTAAAATCAGTTTCATCAGATATAAATACAGCATAACTTCATTTATTTTGGCTTTTGCTTGTCCAGAATATCTTTTTCACTTCTTCATTTTCATTCTATGTGTGTTTTCAAAGGCAAAATGAGTTTCTTGAAGACATATAATTGGTCCATGTTTAGCTCAATTTTTGTGTCACTTAGATGTGATTTGTTTGGAGAATTTAATCCATTTACATTCAAACAATGTATCAAAAAATCCACAAGCATGTGGAAATTCAACAATGTGCTACTGAACAATAGATTGATCAAAGAAGAAATAAAAAGGAATATTGCAAATATCTTAAGATAAATAAAAATGGAAACAAGACATATTAATACTTGTGGGGTGCAGCAAAAGTAACTCTAAAAAGAAGCTTACAGCAGTACATGCTGACATTAAAGAAGGAGAGAGAGTGCAAGTAAGTAACTTGGTTTTGTACTTCAGAAGTATCTGTTAATCAGTAAATCAATCAACATAAAAACATGATATTAAACATCATCATAGAGTGGGGGTGATGGGACAGAGGGGCATGTGCAAGGACAAGTGGGAGCCAACTGTACACTCGACTGGGAGTAAGCCTGAGCTATCTCTGGGGTACCACAGTAACGGAGAGTGACACAGACAGTCAGGTAGGAAGATACGGGTGGGTGCTAAGGAACATACAGAAAGTTGCTGGCTGAAGGCTGTGGCCACAACCACCACATCCAGAGGCCAAGATTAGCCCCCCGCCCCACAGGACCAGTCCTACTGCAGGCACAGTGGAATCACCAGCAAAGATCTGGGTTCTAACTAGGACACTATCACAGAACTGTGGACATTAGAGTGATTATGTATTTTTTGTTTATTTTGTTCTCTTTTTTTCTGCCAGGTTGTTTATCAATTTATTTATTATTTTAAAGAGAAAAAACCATAAAGACAATGTTACAACGTTTCAAAACAGAATAGTAGGAAAGTAACAATGGTTAATACTTTGTTTATTGTTATCTTCAAAGTAGGTGCTCAGATTACATGACAGGCATAAAAATTGATCAAACATAAACACAAACCTTCCTTTTCAAGGAACTAATAGACATTAGTAGTATAACTATCTTAACCATTATATTAACACACACACCACTTCCTCCTTTTCTCCATTCCCCCATCCCCATTGTTCTTTCCTTTTGTAGCTTCCACCCGTTTTACAGTATCTGTTGCACACTTTGGGTCTTATTTACTCCTTCAGTTTCTTATACTAAGGAAACAATATGATGTTTACACATGTGAATAAGATTTATTTCACTTATGAGTATGGTCTCAAATTGCATTCATTTATCTATAAAAGCCTTGAGTTTATCCTTCTTTGTAGCTGAGTTCACTGTATAGAAAAGTCACATCTTTTTTATCCATTCCTTGACTAAAGGGCATTTGGGCTGTTTCCAAGATTTAGCTATTATAAATTTTGCTGCTATAAACATAGGTGTACATGTATCAGTGTAGTAGGTATGTAGTATGACTCTTTAAATTTTTCTAGGAAAATGCCAAGAAGGGGATTAGCTGGGTTCAATGGGACCTCTAATCCTAGTTTTTGAGGAACCTCCAGACTGACCTCCAGAGTGGCTGCACCAGTCTGCAATTTCACCAATAGTGGGGAAAGGTTCCTTTTTTCCCCACAGCCCTTCCAGCCATTTGTTCTTGGCTGATTTCTTGATGATAGTCATTATTTCTGGAGTGAGATGGAATCTCAGTGTTTTAATTTGCGTTTCTTGAATGACCAATGGTGTTGAACTTTTTTAATATTTTTTTTTGCCATTTGTATTTCTTCATCTAAGAAGTGCAAATTCATCTCAGATGCTCATTTTTAGATTGAGTCTTTGAATTTAAGGGGCCTGATTGGATTTACACTATTTTGTTTTGTTTGAATTTATTGATTGAGAAGGAATGGACAGCTATTTCAAAGAAAACAAGAGACATTATACTAGCCACTGTTGATTTCCTGTTGTCTTTTTTGAAGCTTTATGTTGCTTGCACTGTTCTGCTCTGATCTGCTTTGTTCTGTTTTCTTTTGTTTTGTTTTATTTTCTTTAAAAAAATAATAAAGCTAAAGGATTTCACATTATTAAAAAGCTTTTGCTACAAGCTCCTGCCTGTCAAGCACAAGGCCCTAAGTTCAATTTCCATTTAAAAAGTAAAAGCCTTTATACAACAAAAGAAATCATCAACAGAGTGAAAAGACAGCTCACAGGCTGGGAAAAAATTTTAGCCAACTGTCCCTCAGACAAAGAACTTATTTCTAGAATACATGAAGAAATGAAAAAAGGTAAAAGGAAAAAGGTATAACTTTGTTTATAGATATATAAAATAGCTAAGATGATTATACTAGTAATTCTATTATTTCTTGGAAAAAAATTTAATACTCATATGATTGATCAACTTGCATGTCTGTACCTGGTAATCTAAGCAACTCTTGAAGATAACAATATGTAATGTTATGATCATTGTTAAATTCCTATCACCTTGTTTTGAAAGCATATTGTGATTGTTTTGGTATTTTCGTGGTTTGTGTAGTTGTTGCATGTCTCTTGTTTTTTCTTTTCTGTTTTTGTCCCTTTAAAATAAAAAAAAGAATTGAAAGAAATCTATCCCTCTAAATTTAAAGACCCAATCCAAAAATGGTGATCTGAGATGAACACATATTTCTCTGATGAAGAAGTCAAAATGGAAAATAAATATATGAAAAAATGTTTGACATCACTGGTCATTCAAGAGATGCAAATATTGAAATTCTACTTCGCTTCAAAAAGAATGACTATTATCAAGAAATCAGTCAATAACAAATGGTGGTGGGGGTGTGGGAAAAAGAAACCCTTCTTCTTTGTCAGTGGGAATGCAGACTTGTGCAACCACTGTGGAAATTAGTGTGGAGATTCCTCAAAAACCTGAGTAGAGGTCCCATTGGATCCAGATATTCCTCTTTTTGGTATTTCTCTGAAAGAATTAAAAGCATTATACCACAGCACTGTACATGCCCCCATATGTATAGCAGCTTCATTTGCAGTAGCTAAATCTTGGAAAGAACCCAAATGCCCATCAACCTAAGAGTGGATAAAGATGTGATTTTTTTTAATATAATGGAGTACTATTGAGTGATAAAGAAGGATAAGCTTAAGACTTCTCTAGGTAAATGGACATACCTTGAAACTGTGCTCTTAAGTGAAATAAATAAGCCACAGATGTGTAAACACTACATTGTCTCTTGTGTGAGAAACTGAAAGTGTAAATAAGGACCAACATACATAATATTTTTGTGAAATAGAAATTGTTGAAAAGGAAAGGGGAACTGGGGGATGGGAAGGAAAGAGAGGATGGAAAAACAATGAAAAAAAGATAAAATGGAAACAAAGCTTTGTAAATAAAGAGGCAAGGAGGGTTAAATGAGAGGGGAATAGGAAAAAAGAACTAAGATATACAATGTACAGTTACAGATTCCTATTGATGAATGTGATCATTATGTATATTTAAAATGTACCAATAAACAATTTTTTAAAAATGTCATACAATATATTAACCCTTGTTAATCTCCAATTATGTAGTTTTGAAATTCTGTATCATCATTTTTGTTCTTTTTTGTTTAAAAACAAAACAAAACAATAACATCATAAATGTATTTATACATCTACATATCTTTATATCTATTTATGAGATCACTTTGTATTACATAAGTGTATATACCATTATTGTTTGTCAATAATTCATGTTATTTTTATTTTATTAGTATACTTTAGATGTACACTGATAATATTCATCATAGGGAACTTGTATCTATATATGGTATATCTTGTTTTTTCTTTTTTCCCCATTCATGTCATATGTGTAATATGTGCTTATTAAAACATCATAGTTTTAAAATACTTTTCATTGTTGATGGACAATTGTTTGTTACTGAATGCATTATTAGCACTGGGTAGTATGTTTTACAATGCCTAAATGGTGTATTTTACACATTTCTTTTGAATTTATGCTTAGGAATGGAGTTTTTTGTCATAGTTTTTATGGCTATTCAAATTTAGCAGTTGGCCTTTAACAGTGTTCCAGTAAAAGTTTGGAAAACCAATGTGCATTTCACCAGTTGTGTTTGAGAGATACATTGACATCAGGTACTGTGTACTGGCCATCTTTTAAATTTTGAACACGGGACAGGAGGCTTGCAGTGACACCTTTTGTGGTTTTGCATCACATTTTCTAGATGACTAAAGAGATGAGCTGTATATTTTTAAAAACAAGTTTACTGGCCATTTTCCATTCTGAAGTGCTTGGTCAAGGTTCATCTGGCTGTCTAATTTTATTATGCTCCCCCAGGATCAGTTCCTAAAATATCCTCATTTTCCCTTTTCTTCATGACAGTTTATGGGCTTTCTTTCCAGGTGCTAGATGGACCCTGGGCATTGTAAAGAGGCAGAGTAGAGATTACTTCCGTGAGAAACCAAATTGTATCTATGGGGATTCAGTGGAGGAGAGTGTTAGCATTGCTCTAACCTGTGAACAAGGCAGGAGCTGCTTCCAGTATGCTTCAGTTAGTGACTCTGCAAGGGAGGAGGCTCAGGATCCTCAGAGAGGGAGTGAGAGCACTGTGCTGGTAATCACTTATAAGTAACCTTTCCGCAGAAAGGGAATGATTTTTCTCTGACTCTGTGCTGATGAATATTCTTTGAAGGCAGCAGAACAAATAAACCTGGTATCCTTTCCAGAGCTTTTTGCACTGAATATTAGAAGTCTCTCTCTCCCTCCCTCCCTTTCTCTCTCTCTCTCTCTGCCTCTCTCTCCTTTCTCCTCTGCCTCTTTCTTTCCTTCCAAAGACAGAAGAGGGTGGTGATTGTATTGGAAGGGGCACCATTCGAAATAAAACATGATCAAGTCCCAGCCATACTTCTGCCCCAAGTCACACACACAACTTTGGATCCACTGCACTTCATCTCTTGGAATCTCAAATTCACCACTAAACTGGAGACAATTGGAAAAGAAGGTTTTAGGTGTCACTGTGTTCTTTAGCTAACAAAAGGAACTGGATGATGGAATGAATTTCTACCTACCTGCTTGTTTGTGAATGGGCTTCTTTAGGGGTTTTCAACTAGTTTTTTTTTTTTTTTGTAAGAAAAGCTCAGCTTAGTGTCTTTAATACATAAAGACTGTCTAGTTTGTGCTTTGGATAAATGTAAGAATTCTGAATCTAATCTAGGATTTTAAAAGGGTGAAACCATGAAATGTGGAATGATATCCTTGGAGCAGGCCTCAGCGACCTTTAAGAACTTCAGGTTCACCTGTTAGTGATGCTGGGGAGTAAGAACATTCTGGAGATTTGTTGGTTCCCTTACATACAGTCAATGTAAGTTTTCTGTAGTTCATTTTTAAATAAATAATGGAATAGAATAATGTTATTAAAATGGTCATAGTGTTGTACAAATAATTTTGTTTCTCTTGGATAACACAGTAAGGAGATTTTCTTATTTTACTAGTTTTTTTTTGTTGTTGTTGTTTTCAGTACTGAGGATGGATTCCTAAGCTTTCACACTGGACTGTATCCCCAGTCCTTTTTAATGTTTTTGAGAAAGGGTCTCATTCAGTTGTTTAGGTTGAGCTTGAACTTGTTATCCCCCTGCCTCAGCCTCTTAGAGTGCAAGGATTACAGAGGTGGACCACCATGCCTGGTTCTTTCTTAATTTTTAATGAATGTGTTTTGTTTGTACTCCCACAAATTTGCATCACAGAGGCAAATCAGTTTATCATTTTCACTTTGGGGCATATAAATTAAGTATGTGGCTGTATTGTATAGTATTCATAATGATTTTATTTTCTTTACACTTTTGTTTTCTGTATGAAAATCAGTATTGGGGAACTTTTCATGATTATTTTGAAATTATATCCATATCAATACCCACTTAGTCTTCCTGGCCTCTGAGTCCACATGAGCTGCTGCCCACTGTGTTAATGGTGATGATGAGAGGCACCATTCACTGAGGAATGACCACTTCCAGGCTCCTCCAAACAGGTGATGCATGCTATGTTTCTGTCCTCTGTAACCTTAGGCTATAGAAAAACTTACTTGTTTTAAATAGTCAAGTCCATTTTAAAAATTGACACATAGTAGTTGTGAGATCTTCATTCTGTAACTAAGAACGTGGAGACTTTGAGATGCTGTCCATGATGACCTGGTCAATCAATGGCACAGGATGATCCACTCCCAGATGTGCAAAGGGTGACACTAGTCAGTGAAGTCCAGTGGCCTGTGCTGAGACAGTCTGGTGCTGTTCCCAACACTGCCACTCATTACTTGGTTATGCTTCTCCTATAACAGTAGGACTAGTGGGAGGGGCAGGAAAGTACTCGAGACGCCTGCTCAGAGTTGTGCAGTGTGTGTCTGACTTGTCTTCCTCTGCAAAATGAGAATTGAAGATTAATCTGCCTATCAGAAGTGTTGTGACAATAAAAGGAGCAGATTCAGTTTGGACCATGTTCGGTGAAGCATTACTATTGCTGTCTGTGGCATTAACCAAAAGTTCTCCAAAAACGTCCCCACCAGAGCTGTCACTCACAAAAATTGTATTTGCACAGAGATAAAAAGGGAGGTAGCTTCCAGATCATCACTGGAGTCTTTTCTCCTGCATTTTTTATGTCTGCATGTTTTTCATTTTATGACACTTAATAGCTTCTTTTGCTTGATATATTGAACATTACTAAATCTTCAGAAAACGGGAGGTCCTGGCTATTTTGTAAAAAAGCTTCATATTTCTAAGAAAAGGATGAGGAGGGCAGGGTTAATAATAGTTTTTTAAAAAACCAAATCAAGATAAGAATAGGTATTTCCTTAGTATCGTTAGAAGAATAAAGGGATAAGATGCATTATGTATATCGATTTCTCAAAACTAATGCATTAGTTATGTTTCACAAGGAAACTGAACATGTAAATAAGAAAAAAGGTGCATAGTACATATGAAATAGAAAGAAAATGTTCAAATGGGAATGGGAATTATGGAGGGGAGGTGGGAAAGAAAGGAAGGAAAAACAAGACAAGAAAAGAAGGTAAATTGGGAGCAAAGTTTTGTAAATAAGGAGGTTAAGAGGGTTTGAAGGGAGGGAGGGGAGTGGGGGAAAATAATAAAGATATACAGGTACAAATTCCCCATGATAAATGTGATCATTATGTATATCTAAAATGTACCAATAAACTTGATTAATTAAAAAATGTTGGGCTGGGGATTTAACTGAGTGACATAAGTACTTGCCTGGCAAAGGGAAGTGGATGCAAAAGGGAATCTTGCAATATCCTCACAGTGCATTTAATCTTTCTATGTTTTTTTGACTCCATAGGCATTGCTGTAACCACATTCTCTGTGCCCTTGCAATCTCTGGAAATACAACAGAATCTTACAGAATTTTTCATGCTGGGACTCTCACAGAAGCCAGAGGTACAAAGAGTTTTATTTGTGTTCTTTCTGTTTATTTATGTGATCACAGTGTGTGGCAACATGCTCATAGTGATCACCATCGCTGTCAGCTCCATGCTGGCTTCCCCCATGTACTTTTTCCTGGCCAATCTATCCTTTATTGACACCTGTTATTCTTCCTCTTTGGCACCTAAGCTCATTGCTGACTCCTTGTATGAGGGTACAACCATCTCTTATGAGAACTGCCTAGCTCAGCTCTTTGGAGCCCATTTCTTGGGAAGTGTTGAAATCATTTTGCTTACAGTGATGGCCTATGACCGCTATGTGGCCATCTGCAAGCCCCTGCATTACACGGCCATCATGACCAGGAAACTCTGTGTCATGTTACTGGCAGTGGCTTGGCTGGGGGGCTTCTTGCATTCATTGGTTCAGCTCCTCCTGGTCCTTCAGTTGCCCTTCTGTGGGCCCAATGTGATCGACCACTTCGTCTGTGACTTGTACCCTCTGCTGGAGCTCGCCTGCACGGACACCTACGTCACTGGTCTGCTGGTGGTGGCCAACAGTGGTGTGATCTGCCTGCTGAACTTCCTCATGTTGGCTGCCTCCTACATTGTCATTCTGCACTCCTTGAGGTCCCACAGTGCTGAGGGGAGACGCAAAGCCCTGTCTACCTGCGGGGCTCACTTCACAGTGGTTGCCTTGTTCTTTGTGCCCTGTATCTTTAGTTATATGCGTCCACCATCTACTTTATCCATAGACAAGAGCATGGCAGTATTTTATGGCATTCTGACACCTATGCTGAATCCACTCATTTATACCCTGAGAAATGATGAGGCAAAAAATGCCATGAGAAAATTCTTTGTATAATAAGAAATTGCAGGTAAATATTAAGCACCAAAGCAGAAAAATAGATGGGTTTATCTCTGTAAGGAAACAACCAAAGCTTGTATTATATTACCATCTATCATTTCATCTTCATAGGTTTTATGGTTTAGATTTTCACATGAATTGCATAATTTTAATATAAAATAAGTACATATATACATACATATATATATCTCCTGAATTATTATTCTTCCTATTTAAGATATGAAAAACTATGTTTTGTGATGCGATTAATTGGTTAGTCAAGCTTATTTAGCTTTGAAGCTCAAACTCAGTTATATTGATCCATCATCCTCATCTGAAACTAGCAAGCCACATGGGCATTACATGAGGCTGTGTGATCACTAACTGCACTGTAGAAACACAAGGCAAGCCCAGCCCAACGCCTTCACACACAGCCTGCGTCACAGGGTCCTGAGCATCCAGAATACACTTCTACTGGGTTCTGGATGCTGAGGACCCCCTTCTCACCTGCTCTGTGATATCAGTAGTGCAGCAGCTGCAGCAGGTGAGTGAGGAACCAGGCCTGGATGAACCTGAGTCTCAGTCTCATTGTTTGTGCTTGCTAACCTGATTAAGTGACCAAAACTCTATGGGCAGTTATTTTAGATTCCACACATAAGTGGAAATCTAATGATGCAGTTTTTGTATTTATATGTCTGACTTAGTTTTTTGATCAAGATATCCACGTCCATCTATGAGTGTCGAATGGCACGATTTCTTCCTTTTTAAGGCATTAATTATGCATCAAAGTGAAGGTAAAGGAAAAAGAATAAGGATAATGTGTGTTCTAAATTGTTATTGTGGGAATTGAATACAATGACCAATATGAAGTTTTTACAGTAATTTTCAGCACAGAGTAAAGTGCCAACATGCTGATTGATATTACTCTGTCTACTCAGTTCTTTCCTAAATATTCATAAAGGTGTTTGTTTCATTTGCTCTCCTACCTCTAGTAAGTTTGAATATTCTGCTTTATATATCAATTGTTTTATTTTTCATATTCAATATACATGTCCATTTAATCTACATTTTTTCCTGGTTTTAAAATCTTGACCCTATCCCCCCCAGTCCTTCAATCTTTAGGATGTGGCTTCTATCCATTAAAATACAAATAATCTGTTTGAAAAAAAAATCTATAGTTTGCTATGTTGCAAAATTGTGTGTGTGTGTGTGTGTGTGTGTGTGTGTGTGTGTGTGTGTGTGTGTTGGGCATTGGAGCCAGGGCTGTGTGGGCTGGGCATGCTTTCAGCCACTGAGTCACACCCCAGGCCCATATCCACTTCAGTGGTAAGAAATAATCAGGAAGATAACAGGAAACAAGTTTTCTACTCAAAGAGAAATTAATTTCAAGGAACAAATACATTTGGAAGATTATCAAGTTATTGCTTTGTCTTCAAATGTTTATATCTTTAACCAAAATATGTAGATATATGAGACAAAATAAATATTGAGTTCTTTTTTAAAAAAATTTTATTTAAAGAAAGACTAAACAAAACAGAAAATAGGTAGAAATAGTACATACATTCTGAGAAATAAACAGTAAGAAATCGCTAGTTGATGTTTACATATTGTCGTTTTACAAATAGTTGTTCAAGATACAAAAATGGAACATGTAAAGTGGGAATTCAAATAGCAAGACTGCAAACAGTTCTGTTCAACTGTCCAACAAAAACTTAGTAACATGGTTGTCAATCCTCTACACTTAAACACATATGCAGTTATCCATATCTTCATTTATGTTTAGATTAAACAAACTAAAGCAGGTTAAAATCATTCTGAATAAAGAATAATAGTATTGCTGGATTTCACATCATGTCACTCTGATCAGTACTGGATACTGTATTGTCTTTTTTAAAAATTTAATTTAAAGAAAGGCTAAACAAAACAGAAAACAGGTAGAAATAATACATAATTTCAAAGAAAAAATAAACAGTAAGAAATCACTAGTTGATGATTACAGATTGTCTTCTTACAAATAGTTATTCAGGATACTAAAGTAGAGCTTATAAAATGGGGATTCAAACAGTGAGACTGCAACCAGTTCTGTTCAACTATCCAACAAAAACTTAGAAATATGATTATCAATCCTATACAATTAAACATACATGCAGTTATCCATATCTTCAATTATGTTGAGATTGAACAAACCCAAGCAGGCTAATATCACTCTGAACAAAGAATACTAGTATTGCTGGGTTTCACATTATGACACTTCAGGATCAGCACTGGGTATATTAGTGTCTCTTTTTCTTCAAAGTATTTGTTCATTTCATCCTGCATTATAAGATCAGTTCTTATAAGCTGTTTATATATTCTACACATGCATGCATCTTAACATGTATTTCTATCCTTTCTGTATTAGAGGGAGAAACAAAACAAAGCAAGGAAAAAAAACATATTCCTACAAACACCTGAAATGAAATAAACATGCAAGACCATTGTACAAAGAGCTCTACCATGGTTCCTGTGTTGTCTCTTGTTATCTCCAATAGAATTGGCTATATCATCAGGCACAGTATAATTGAATATATCAGCACATAACAGTATTAATAAAAGCATAAATTTGTATATAATATAGAACTTCAAAAACTGGAAGTTATCAAACCAGAATGTGTATCATAGAGTCTTGTCATCTTCAGTGTAGTTGTCTATACTCTCAGACTTGATACTATCAATCATATCAGTTTTGAATAAAATCTTCTCTACCTCATTTCTGTTATGCTCTTTTTTGCCATCAGTTGTCTGCTTATCTTCTTCATTCTGTTTTCTGCTCCATTCATTGAGGCCTCTCTGCCACTATTCCTGGAATCCTAGTATTTTTCTCTCTCTAGAATGCCCTGCAGTATTCTCTGTAGAGTTGGATTGGTGGTTGCAAATTTCCCAAGGCCCTATTTGTCTTGGAAGCACCTCATTTCTCCATTAATTTCTAGAGACAATTTATCAGGGTATATCAATCTGGGATGGAGGTTATTTTCTTTCAAAGCTTGGAATATTTCACTCCAGGCTCTTCTTGACTTGATGGTTTGTGTCAAGAAGTTTGCTGTTATTCTAATGGGACTTCCTTTATAGGTTATTTGTTTCTTGTCTCTAACAGTTTTTAATATTCTGTTCTCTTATTGAACTTCTGGGATCTTGATTATTATATGCCTGGGTGTAGCTCTGTCTTGAATGTAGGTGACTGGAGTCTATAGGCCTCATATACCAGAATATCATTTCCTTTTCCTATATTTGGGGAGTTTTCCTTAATTATTTCTGTCAATAACCTTTGTAATTCTTTTGTTTGTACCCCTGCTTATTCGTTCACATTTTTTATTCTCAAGTTATAGATCCTCTTGTCATCTTCTAGCCTTTGTATTGTTACTGCTTGTTTCCTTGTTAATTTTTAAAAGTTTTTCCTTTCATAATCCCACATTGCAAAACTGTCCTCCAGTTTGTATAATCTATCCTTAGGTTCTTTCAAGCTGATTTGCCATCTTTCCATAGAGTTTTTAATTTCCTGGTGATCTCTTTGAATCTGCTTCATGTATTCTGTATTTTTTTATATTCTTCATCAAATGGTTCTCTCCTTTGTTTTAGTCCCTCCCTTCTTCTGTCTGCGTCTGCTTGAGTGGTGCTTACTATCTCTTTTATTAATCTTTTTATACTTTGCTTTATTTGGCTAAATATTTCAGTTTGATCTCGTCTGTGACGTACTGAATATATCTCTTTATGTCCACTGGCTACTGTGTCTGATATTGCATGTTTGCTGCTCTCATTCACCTTTGTATTTACCTGTCCTGGGTCAATGTTCTCAGGGTTGGGGCCTGGGAATTTCTTCTTGTTGCTTCCTCTTCCCATCGTTTTGCTTCTTCCAGGAGGCCCCAGTTTCTTTCTTTGTTGTCTACAATTCTTCTGAAGTGTACTGGCTAGATGACCCTTCACACTGCCTTGTGCTAGTGAGTTGCAGACAGGGACAGCATATGCTGGCCCCTCCCCTCCAGATCAGCCAAGCTCCTGTGGCCTGCACTACTGTATTACTTTGCACTGCCTCCCCTCTGGACCAGCCAAACCTCTGTGGCCCCACTGGACTAGTGTGCGCCACCGCTGCAGGGATTTGACCTCGGATAGCCTATTGGGTCTCAGCTGGGTCATGTGACCCAGGCCTAGCTCACTCCACCAATCCCGTTTGGGAAGGGAACAATTGACTGAAGTCATTGCTGCCCCTTGTACTTGCCAGTCCTGTCCCATCCCAGATTGTCATCCACCGGAGCCTTCCTATTTATGGAATGGCTCCACTCCTTTCACTCACCACAGGTCGATGTAGGTACCCTGCCAACTCAGCCCTCCATTTGGCTCACTGACCCCCAAACTCAATGTAACTGTGCCTCCAGGGGGTCAATGCAGTGGGAACTCCGATGGCTCAGCCAGTCATGGTGGGACCTTGGCAAGTCATGGTGGGACCTCAGATGGTCAGCAAGTCACCTTAATTTCTTCTTGGGATGACAGAATTCATCTCCCTCTGTTTGGGGCTCCCTACTCTATATTATGTTGAATTCTAAGTTGACTATCTCAGGGAGCTTCTGTAGCCAGTTGTTATCTATCCACCATCCCTGCTCCTCCCCCCAATATTGAGTTCTTTTACTTTGTCATATTTTAATCCAGGAGAGTTAGTATTCAGACCTTGTGTTCCATACCCATTTATATAAAATATTCATCAATGGTACCATAAAAGTGTGTGGAGTTGTTTGAGAGTTAAATTTTTTAATATTTATTTTTATTTATGTTTATTTTTTATGATGTCTCTTGTTTTCTTCAAAATAGCTGTCCATACCATCACATATAATAAAATTAAACAAAATAACACAGAACAAAACCAATCAAAAAAGAATGAAAGTATTACAGGACTTCAAAACAAGATAATAGGAAATCAACAATGGCTACCACAATGTCTCTTGTATTCTTCAAAATAGCTGTCCATATATTCACACATAATAAAATCA